TGCCGGCCCGCGCGGATGCTGGGCCTGGCACACGAGTGCAAGCGGCGACCTACCCGGGCCCGGGCAGTTTCTCGCGGCGCCAAGACCGCGGAGACTGTGCAGAGAATCAAGAAGACCCGCAGGCTGAAGGCCAACAATCGCGAGCGCAACCGCATGCACAACCTCAACGCAGCGCTGGATGCGCTGCGTGAGGTGCTTCCCACGTTCCCCGAGGACGCCAAGCTCACCAAGATCGAAACCCTGCGCTTCGCCCACAACTATATCTGGGCGCTCACAGAGACCCTGCGCCTGGCGGACCACTGCGGGGGCAGCGGCGGGGTCCTGCCGGGGGCGCTCTTCTCGGAGGCGGTGTTGCTGAGTCCGGGAAGCGCCAGCGCCACTCTGAGCAGCTGTGGTGACAGTCCATCGCCAGCCTCCACGTGGAGTTGCAGCAACAGCCCCGCGCCGTCCTCCTCGGCGTCGTCCAACTCCACCTCCCCCTACAGCTGCACTTTATCACCTGCCAGCCCGGCGGGTTCAGACATGGATTATTGGCAGCCCCCACCTCCCGACAAGCACCGCTACGCACCTCACCACACCATAGCCAGGGATTGTATCTAGAATTGCTGTTTCTGTTACCCACCCAGGCCTTACTGAGTTCTCTTTTTATCCCCCATCAAACCCTTCCCCTTCCCTACCCACATTTTCCACGCTCCGATCACCACCTCACTTCACAAAGCAGAAATAGCCATTCTGATTCCTTGTTGGTTTTGTTGCACTTCTTGGCAGTGGGCTTCCTTCACTCAGATGATCTCTAACTTAACGACCCTGTGATGAAGTTTACTATCAAAGAGGATGGTGGGATTTTGGGTGAGCTTCTTGAGGTTAGAAAGACGTTGGGAGGAAGTGAGGGTGGTATATCTGAAGGGTTTGCAGAGCGGACGGACGCTCCCCCACTCTTTCTGTAAAGTCAGAGGACTCCGCACGGTCTGCGTGAATCATCCAGGGGGAATGCAACTAGTTCCTGTGATCTCGTCACCTTTGCTTCTACATAGAGATGCTAATGTCAAGTAGAAAGAAATGTATCTTAGCATCTGAATGATTTTACCAGTAATAATATTATCTACAGATTTGCAATGGCTGGCATCTGCCTTATTCCCACTGCTGTCTGCAAGCTGTGGGAATTTCACCTGTCAAACCAAACTTTCCCTCTCTGATGTGCACTTTGTTCTGTTTCCAAGATTCGTCACAATGCCTATTGTCCCGTCCTTCTCTTTCCTTTTTCTTTCCCATTTTGCCATCTGTCTCTTATGATTTATAAAGGGAAAAAAAAAGTTGGTTTGTTAGACGGCCAGGTTAGAAGTCATTGTATAATTTGTAGGCTTTGTTATGATTGAATGCAAGCGTGGAAATTTAGGCTGAACTCTCTATCAAAAGAAAAAATGTGGAGGAAAAGGGAAAAATCAGGAGGGAGGATTGCTTCATGTATTATTTATCTCGACCTTTTAGGGGAGAAGGAACTCCCCCATTCTTTCAAGAGATTAAAAATAAATCAACAGACTGAAAATCTAAGCAGACACGGAGCATTAGCAGGATCAGCCACACACGTGTTCCTTTCTATTTATTATAAAGAAAATTTTCATGGGAAAAGTATGTATTTTTTGTATATTCTACAGAGTTTATTCTAGTATGTATTTACATCTTGAAGAACAAGAAAATTTTTCTTGTGATTAAAATATAAATAAAGTATCTAATTTTCATAATCTTTGCATAATCTTCCTGCTTCTGTATGTTTTAGAAGCATAATGAGTCGTGCTTTTCTGACATTCTCCCCATGTCAAATTGAGTACTTGTATATTTCAGTCATCTTTATGTGTAGGATTTTACTGGCACATGAATTCTAGGAAATCACAAGAAGCTGAATCATATTTGAGACATTAACACTGAAATAAGAGTGTAAGGCTCAAAATAAACACACACTTGGAAGAAATCAATTTATGAGTAAATCAGATGAGCAAAAAAAGGAAATTGTATGATAACTAAGTCATGATAAGCTCTAATAAGCTCTGGTAAATTCAGAAAACGCTGATTTTGATGAAATATTAAAATGAAATTTCTTGATGCAGTGCCATCACTCGGTGTGGTGTTCCCCAGTGTGGTAATTCATGGTGTCATCTTCACCACCATGGACCTCCTCACATACTAGACCATGCAAAATCCTTAACAATATCGATCAATTTTAATAATAAGTAATATATGATACATATAATTGTAAATTACTTAAATGTAATATTTCTTAGATTATATGGATGTTAACAAAAATGTTTTATAAACACTTTCTACATTGAATTACTAGTCATTAGTTACATTATTAGTAAATGAGTGCAAGCTTATTTTGATTTTTCTTACTTTTCCCTTAATTACTACTATATTCTCAAAAAAGTTAGTGAGAGTAGGTTCACAAATACTGATTACCACAATATTGTAGCTAAAACACCAGAAAATTTTACAAAATCAACGACTATGAAAACACCTGATATCAAGGACAACAACAGCAGGGGCTTACAGTGCAGTGCAAGGCATACCACGTGATTCAAAGCTCATTGTAACGGGGTAACAATGACAGCTCTGACCTGAGCCGCTAGAAAGTCCAAAAAGTAAATTAGCATAGAGTTTTAGCCTTGCAGGTATATCGATACGTGTAAGCTGGGCTTATGAAAAATGTTTTTATTGTTATAACTAACTACAGGGATATTTTTATAAAAAATAAAATTCTGCTGAAACACTACACAAAACTTGTATAGACAGTCATTTTGGTGTCACTTCCTCTGACAGTGTCACCCAGTGATGTCTGCACCCTCACACACCCCTAGTGACATCACTGTCTTGGTGGAGTGTGTAGAAATCTGATTCTTACACTTAACCTCTTTGGGCTTCAATTTTGTCAGCTGTAAACTGAGGTTATGAGACATCTATTTCTGAGGCATCCTTCCAGCTCCAAAATCTATGCTATAACTGAATATTTATAAAAATCATTTTTGGGACACTGATTTCATATTAGGAAACTAGTTAGTTTGACAAGTAAACTCCCAGAAAAAAGAGACATTCAGGGTAAACTGGAATAAAAAAAATCTGGAAAAAAAATAGCTCAGCATTCCAATATTTGTCAAAACTTCAAAGAGGAAGCAAAAATGATTTCCTAATCTCTGAGAGGGAGCTCTGGTAATCTAGTCCCTAAGGCATTTGACTGCTAACAAGGTGGTGGTTCAAACCCACCAGCCACTCCTCAGAAGGAAGGTTGGGCAATCTACTTTCATAGTGATACCACCTCAGAAACCCAAGGAGGGGTCGCTATGAGTCGGATCCAACTTGACACCAGTGAGTTTGGTATTTTGGTTTGAATCTCTGATAAACTTTATAACTTGCACTTTAGTCTCCACAGCAGACTGGTCTTGGGTCAAAGATGACCAATTGAAGGATGAACAGATTCTAGGTTCAAGTCCTTGGGGAAGTGTCCATGACAACATAGGGTAGAAAGATCTTGTGTTAGCTAAGAAATGAAGACTCTTCACACACACACACATTTCATATCTACTTCTGGGTTGAACCAAAGCTTCTACTCCTTTGCAAAAAGCAAAATGATAATTTCTCCTGAAATGCTTATCTGAAGCTATTCCTCCTCTCCATCCTTCTAGAAAATATTCAGTGTTCAAAGTATTAGTAATTCAATTTCTATCAAAGGAAGACTCAACAAGGGTTTTTGTTTAGTATTCATAGCTGGAGCTATGAATACATTTGGAGCTCTGGTACCATAGTGCCTAAGGCATTTGACTGCTAACCAGAAGGTTGGAGGTTCAAACCCACCAGCCACTCCTCGGAAGGAAGGTGGGGCAATCTACTTCCTGGTGATACTGCCTCGGAAACCCAAGGAGGGGTCACTATGAGTTGGGCCGACTCCATGGCACATAACAACAACAACAGCTGTAGGTAAGAGAGACCTGTTGGAAAATTCCTTCTAATTTAGATATTGTACACTCTTAGCCACTTTTTGATTATGTAATATGGGAAAATATTTCTCCTAAATTCACATTTATGTTTATAATGTTTTAAAAGCTAAGCCAAAAAGCAAAGCAATTGCAGTATGAGAGTTTTAAAACATCAGAGTTTTGATGCCAAGCAATTCTTCTGGTAATGATGATGCTTATGATCACATATGGTACTTTGTTTGGAAAGTTGCCAAAGAAAAAGTTCATGGCACACATTTGTGGAGGCAGACCCCCAAGGGCTCTTCCAAGTCTATTGAAAACCTCCTCTATTGATGAGGCTATACCATAAACTGGCTTAGTTGGAAACACACGGATGGGGAGGTGGACCAATAATCTTACCTTTGAATAAGGGCAATACAGCCAATGACTTAAAACCACTACTTAGCAACATCTCGCAGCAACCTCTGTTTCTTCAGGCCCAGAGCCTCTTCTTATTTGCATGGCTTGATCTCCATACTGCAGGTCCCCCCCACATTAGCAGCATGTCCTTCATGCCAGGAATTCCCGCCTGCCATCGGTGCTTCACACCCAGACTTTCCATTTCCTATCTAATACAGGCCTTGTTTTACACTAAATTGGGGCAGTTATCGTTATGGCGTCTGAGGATATTTGGTGGCGTAGTGCCTCAGGCATTTGACTGCTAACCAAAAGGCTGGCGGTTCAAACCCATCAGCTACTTCTTGGAAGGAAGACTGGGCAATCTATTCCATAAACATACTGCCGGCAAAACCCAAGGGGGTCGCTATGAGTCGGATCCTACTCAAAGGCTGCGAGGTTTTTTTTTTCCCCACTCAGTGTGACTGCTCGATGACCTGACGCGTCTGCCTGCACCAAACGGGCTTGAGGACAGGTGAGCCTCACATGACATTTTATTTCTGGAGGCTCTCTGTAAAGATCTTTTTCGGGTGACTCAGTCTTGCTTGGATATTTCCAGGGTCAGCGGGTGTCCTGCTGCGTGTTTTCTGATACGCACAGAGGCAAGACGATTGGTCCTGCCAGCCTTCGAGACTTCACTTTAGCGCTGCCATGGTTTCTGGATACGCCAAAACCAAACCCACTACCATTGGGTAGATTCCGACTCATACTCATAGAGACCCCCACTGGGTTTCCGAGGCGCTAAATCTTTATGGAAGTAGATTGCCCCATCTTCCTTGCGCAAAGCGGCTGGTGGGTTTGAACCATCAGCCTTCTGGTTAGCAGTTAAATACCTTAGACATTGCACCACCAGTGCTCTTTACCGTTCCTGCATTTATTTCTTCTGAAGTGCCCAGGCCCTGTGGAGGCTCATTTTTTCCTTGACCAGAATTTAAATAAGTCCATTTGTCAGGCCTGGAGGAGGAAGGAGAAGCGCTGAGGCTCTTCTGGACAAGCCTGGGTGGGTGTCCCCCCAGAGCTGTGCCTGGAGTCCCCACGAGGGCTCCGGACAGTCTTGACCCAGAGGGGGCGAAGTTCTACTTGGCCCTTCCCTGGGAGAAGCACCACGGCGAACAAAGGGCACCTGGGGCCAAGGCAGCGGCCAGCGGCGCCTGCCCGCCTTTCGGGGTCGCTGCGGCTCCTGGCTGCTGATTGCGGGGG